TGAAAGAGACCTACGGTATGCAAATCCTAAACTATTACTAACTGGCTTTTTTGTTTGTTTTAGAGAGGAAAGATCTCCCTATGATGCTCAAGCTGGAGTGCAGTGGCTAGTCACTGGCTACAGGTGCAACCACAGCACTCTGTAGCCTGGAATTCCTGGCCTCAAGTGATTCTCCTGCCTCAGTCTTCAGTGTAGCTAGGACTACAGGTGCATGCCACTACTCTTGACTTATTTAGCCTTGTAATAAAAAAGTTTTCATAGATAAGGATGATGGCAGAAGAAATGGAGAAGAAGAGAAAGGAGAACTCTCTCTGTTCTCACAAAGCCCAGCTTCCCTAGGCATTTCCCTACTTCACCTATCCTTTCTCTATTATACACTTCATTCACTTCTTTACCCCACAAATATGCAAATGCAATCATTTTGTTATTTGTCTGGAGAAATTCATTTGAGACTGGGCTAATTAGCTAAATTTCTGTAGAAGGGAGTGTCTATATTAAGAGAGTGTTCGTTGTTGGAAAAGTGCAAGAATTTGAGCAAAATGTTAATGATGAGCATCTCTAGATAAAGTCATCAAGAATTAGTCATTTTCATCTTTACTTAACCACATGCATACATACATAATATTAAAATGGAGACCATGCCTGAAAAATTCCTGAGTGACAAAACCAACTGTGTCTTAACAATAGTCTTAACCTTGCTTAAACTACAAACATTAGTGGAAGTTAACTTGGGCCATTTCTGGTGAATGCTTATGTTTGAAACAAAACTTAATTTCAGTCAATTGAAGGGTTAAAAATATGCTATTCTGGCATATTGATTAAGCTAAATACACTCGAAAAGCAGCAGATTTAGATCTTCATGCTATTTTTTTTTTAATTGTCAATGAGTTCATTTAGAAAGCAAACTAGAGAGAGAGATTCACCTCCCCACGGTAGGGGAGGGGGCCAAAGCGCCTAAGAAAACATGGCAACCATAGCTCGAAGAGCCACGTGGAGACAACAGAGTTTAACACAGCAATAACCTCATGCCGTTTCTTTAAAGCAGAAGATAAAATTCGCATGTCAAAGACATTGTCCTTACACTAGAAGGAAAGGCAACATTTTTACCCTCACGGATGAGAAGTTGAAACCAAGAGAATTCTGTACAGACCTTGTTAAAATAACTTTTATCTTGTAAGTCTCCCCAAATAATTAGCTGCTGCTTCACAACTATTTGTCCAATCCAGTATATAAGTAACTAACTGCTTATTTGGGTCTTCATTTCCTCATGAGGGCTCTCATACCATAAAAACTTGTATTATGTTCTTCTCCTATTGATCAATCTTATGTCGATTTAATTCTCAAACCCAGCTGGGACCCTGAGAGGATGGAGATAGAATTTTTCCACCTCTAGTGAATCATAGGAGTGAACTAACATATGATGATGTGACTAGGGATGTTCCAACAAGGTAAACCAAAATAGACTACCTTGTATCTGCTAACCCAACAGATAATTTCTTTACGTTGATTGCACAATTGCCCTATAAATACTTTCCTCTGTTGCTTTGTCATTGTAATACTAAATCTCTTCCCGTTTGGTGTTTCCCAATTTGTGAATTTCTTCTTCTTCAAATAAACTCTTTAAAGTGTTATTGTGCCTTGGGTATTTACATATAAATGTTTAGCATATATGTATAAATATATATGTAAAGGCATACTTCAATCATCATGTTGCAGGTTCAGGTACTGTATTTTTATTATAAATTGAAGTTTTGTGGCAGCCCTCTGTTGAGAAAGCCTATTGGTGCCACTGTTTCAACAACATGTCCTCACTTTATGTTTCTGTGTTACATGTTGGTAATTCTCACAATATTTCAAACTGTGTAATCTGTTAGGGTGATCTGTGATCAGTGATCTTTAATGTTATTATTATAATTGTTTTGGGGCACCATGAACTGTGCCTATAGAAGACAGTACATGTAATCGATAAACGTGTGTCTTATCACTGGTTCACCAACTGGCTATTCCCCTGCCTCTCTCTCCCCTCAGGCCTCCCTATTCTCTGAGACACAACAATATTGAAACTAGACCAATTAATTATCCTACAAAGTCTTGTAAGTGTCCAGGTGAAAGGAAGAGTTGCACATCTCTCATTTAAAATCAAAGGTAGAAATGATTAAGCTTAGTGAGAAGTCACATTGAAAACTAAGACAGGCCAAAATCTAGGCCTTTTGAGCCATACAGTTAGCCAAATAGTAAATGCAAAATAAAAATTCTTGAAGGAAACTAAAGTGCTACTCCAGTAAACATACCAATGGTAAGAAAGTGAGACAGACTTCTTGCTGATAGATAGATTGTTTTGTTGGTCTGGATAGAAGATCAAACAAACCACAACATTCCCTTAAGCCAATGCCTGATCCAGAGCAAGGCCCTAACTATTTAATTCTATGAAGGTTGAGAGAGGCGAGGAAGTGGCAGAAGGAAAGTTTGAGGTGAGCAGAGGTTGGTTCATAAGGTTTAAGGAAAGAAACCAACTTAATAACAAAGTGCAAGGTGAAGCAGCAAGTGCTAATGTAGATGCTTCAGCAAGTTATTGACAAGATCTAGCTAAGACAATTGTGGCTATAATAAACAAAATATTTTTTGGTGTAAACTAAACACCCTTATAGTGAAGGCAATGCCATCTAGTACTTTCCTAATTAGAGAGGGAAGTCAATGCCTGGCCTCAAAGCTTCCAAGGACAGTCTTAGTCTCTTATTAGGGGCTAATGCAGCTGGTGAATTTAAGGTGAATCCAATGTTCATTTACTATTTCAAAATCCTAGGATCCTTCAGGATTATGCTAAGTCAACTCTGCCTGTGCCCTACAAATGGAACAACAAAGCCTGGATGACAACATATCGGTTTACAGCATGGTTGACTGAATATTTTAAGTCCATTGTTGAGAAGTAATACTCAGAAAAAAACATTCTTTTAAAAATATACTGCTTATTGAAAATGCACCTCGTCATCCAAAATCTCTGTTGGAGAGATACAGGTAGATTAATGTTATTTTCATGTGTATGACACAGCATCTAGTCTTAGGCCATGGATCAAGGAGTCATGTCGACGTTCATGACTTTTTGTTTAAAAAATATGTTTTGTAAGGCTATAGATAGCATCGATGGTGATTCTTCTGATAAATCTGGCAAAGTAAATTGAAAACCTTCTGGAAAGAATTTACCATTTTAGATGCTTATGATTAATGAGAGTAGGTCAAAATATCACTATTTACAGGAATTTGGAAGAAGTTGATTTCAAACCTCATGGATGACTTTAAGAGGTTCGAGACATTAGTGGAAGAAATCACTGCAGATGGAGTAGAAATAGTCAACGACTAGAATTAGAAATGGAGCCTGAAAATGTGACTGAACTGCTGCAATCTCATGATAAAATTTTTAAAAAATTTTTATTAAAAAAATTTTTTTTAAATTTTAAAGATGTGGGGTACAATTCAGGGTTAGGTATACAAATGTTGATTATGCAGGTACCCTTGTGGATGAGGTGTGCTCCTCCCTCCCCTGGCAATTTCCCTCAAATGCCAATCTCACTCCTCCTCCTCTTTCCCACTACTGCCAATCCCTTTCTTATAGTATTATAATTGTTCAAGGTCTGCTTATGAGTGAGAACATATGGTACTCTGTTCTTTGTTTCTGTGATAGATCATTGAGTATGATCGACTCTAAATCCATCCAAGTTGCTGCAAAGTCCATATGTTTGTCCTTCTTTATGGCTGCATAATATTCCATTGTATATATGAACACTTTTTTATTCATGATAACATTTTTATAGATAAGGAGTTGCTTCTTATAAATAAACTAAGAAATGGAATCTACATCTGGTAGATGGAATCTACATCTGGTAAACAAAGATGCTGTGAACATCGTCCAAATGACAACAAAGAATAATCCGTAAACCTAGTTGATAAAGTAGTGGCTGCTTTTGAGAGGACTGACTCCAATTTTGAAAGAAGGTCAACTGTGGGAAAATGCTATCACATAGTACTGAGAGCTACAGAGAAATTTTTCATGAAAGGAAGAGTCAATTTGTGTGGCAAACCTCAGTGCTGCTTTATTTTAAGAAATTGCCACAGCCATACCAATCTTCAGCAACCACCACCCTGATCAGTTAGCCATCAACATTGCGAAAGATCCTCCACTAGCAGAAAGTTTACCACTTGCTAAAATCATTATTTTTTTTAACAGCAAAGTATTTTTAAATTAAGGTATGTAATAATTTTTGGATATAATGCTATTGTGTACTTAACAATACAGTATAGTGTAAACATAACTTTTATAAGCACTAGGAAACCTAAAAAGTTGTCTCACACTATTATGATTTTTTTATTGTAATTGTCTGAAATATAACCTGCATTATCTTTGAAGTATGCCTATGGGGGGAAAATCTGTCTATCTATCTCTCTATCTATCTATCTCTCTTTCTATCTGTCTCAATCGCTCTCTCTCATCTCTGTCTTTTTCTATCTTTGTCTCAATCTCTATATATCTATATATTAGAGAAAATGTTTAAAATGTTAAATGCACTTGGCTACCAAAAGCACTGAGGAATCCCCAATTAGAAAAAAATGCTTGAAATATTTTTATTTTATACAACTTTGCTTACATTTGTGCTGTGAATTTCTCTTTTCCTTATGTGCCAAGGAGACTGAGTCAAATGGGAAAGTTATCAAGAAGAGAGTCTGTGAAGCCTTCCAAGACGTGGAAGACAAAAGAAAACTGGCAGGGGTATGTTTGCTAAGGTGTGATTGGGAGTAGCTACGGCTTTTTATGACCTCCTCTCACACCTGCTCCCAACACCCATCCTCAAGCTCAAGTCAGATGATTCCGATGTGCTTCTGCTAACACTTTAACAACAGCAGGGATTACTTTTACTTTCAATTTCAGTTTTATTGCATTTGTGGGAATTATGAGCTTCCTTTTTTTTTTTTTTTTAAGTGTTTATAAAAGAGGGATATGAAGTGAAAGGAAGAAAGAGAACAAGCGTTGAGTGAGAGACAACTGAGAACCCTTCTTGTACCTGCGGTGCTGTGGGACAGGTATACCAATTCTTTTTTTACATTCATCTTAGTCTGGAATTCCAGATTTGATTTCTGATTACAAGCGGCAATGGAGTAACAGGCAGGAAGGGTAGGGCGCCTGCTGTCTGGCCTGCAGGGGAGGTCTGTGTCTGGCTTCAGTTCTGGGAAAGTCAGCTTCTCCATTAGGAGCAGTGACTGCTGACAGGTGACAACTAGGTATGCTGAGTCCCCTGGATGTGCTGCTCCCTGAGCGTCAACTCAGGGCAACAGCGTGTGTAGAGGAAAGAAGCCAGGGCCCTGTGGTTGGAGCTGGGAGGCAGAGAACAAGACTCCCTGCCAAGGAGCTTCCAGGAAGTTATGACATTAAGAGTTTCTTTTTTATTTTTCTAGTAGTCACACTTAGGAACGCTCTGTAAATCTCTATGAAGAAACAAATGTAGTCCTTAAAGCATTGATCCTTATTAACAAAAATAATTATATGGTCAAACTCTTTCCCTCTCTCTCAGTGTGTGTGTGTGTGTGTGTGTGTGTGTGTGGTGTTTGTTTCTCATAGCATCAGCAGAGTCACTTGTAGCATTTGCTAAACACACAGATACTTTGACCTGAGAATCTGGGTTTTATTTACCTTTTAACTTTTTTATTTTTTAATTTTAAATATGGGGGTACAATTCAGGGTTGGGTATACAAATGTTCATTATGTAAGTACCCTTGTTGATGAGGTGTACCCTCCACCCCTGGCAGTTTCCCACTACTGCCAATCCTGCCCTGCCCTCCCCTGGCAGTTTCTCGCCACTGCCAATCCCTTTCTTATAGTATTGCCATAGTTGTTCAAGGTCCGCTTATGAGTAAGAACATATGATACTCAGTTCTTTGTTTCTGTGTTAGATCACTCAGTATTATAGCCTCTAAGTTCATCCAAGTTGCTGCGAAGGAGAATCTGGGTTTCAACAATCCTTTCAGGTGATTCTTATGTACATCAAAGTTTGAAAGTCATTCCTGAACAGGATTAAACAGATGTACTTTATTAATCTAAGGTTAAAAGCTCTGTGGTTCATTTCCAGCAAAGAAACCACAGACTTGGTATTTATTGTTTGCAGTAACAGCCACATGTTTGAATCTCTTCCCTTAGTGGTCGCTTGAAAGAGGGGACTGTACAATACCAGTGATTTTAATGTAGACATTACCGTCTGGCCAGGTTCTTATGCCTGCTGCTCAGAAAAACTGAGACTGATACAGCTGTTACAGTAGAGAAAGGGTTTCATATCACAAAGCAACTGAGGGAGAAGGATGGGAGATAGTTCTCAAATCTGTCTTCTCAATAATTTTAGGCTAGGATTTTTTAAGGACCAATCTAATGGGCAGGGGGCTAGGAAATGGGCACTGCTGATTAGTTATAGATGATGTCATGGGGGAGTGATGAAACTGTCTTTGTGTGTAGAGCCAACTTCTGGGAAGGGGCATCACAGGTAGAACCAACTTCTTGGTATGTGCTCTGGATCCAGTTGGGACCTCGGGACCATCAGAGTGTAAAGTCTGAAAAATATCTCAAACATCATTCTTAGGTTTTATAATAGATGTTACCTATAAAGCAGGTTTTCATGTGCTCATTGGTCATCTGTTTATCTTTTTCAGAGAAATGTCTGTTCCAGTTCTTTGTCGATTTTTGAGTTAGGTTTTTGTTGTTGTTAAGTTGTAGTTCTTTATGTAGTCTATCAGAGATATGATTTTCAAAAGTTTTCTCTTATTCTGTTGGCTACCTTGTTAGTCTGTTAATAGTGGTTTTTTTTAAAAATAATTAATCAGTATTTTTTATTATGGTTTTGTGGGGTACAGTTAAGGGTTAGGTGTACAATTACGTTTCATTCAGGCTGAGGTCTCACAAGTTGCCCAGGTGGGTCTCGAACCCACGGGCTCAGGCAATCCACTCACCTCAGCCTCCCAAGGCACGGGATTACAGGCTGAGCCACTGAGCTCTGCTCTAATAGTGTTTTTAATTTTGATGAAATGTAATTTACCTTTTTTTCCCTGTACTTTTGGTATCATAAATAAGCAATCATTGATATCTGAAATCCAAGTTAGGTAGAATAACACTAGAAAAGGTAGTACCCATTTAGGTTAACATGTTCCAGATAAGGTCTACTCTGCTTCCTCTTCAAGTGAAGGGAACAGGAAATTGGCATGCCAGATCCTCCAGAACAAGACCATGTCACAGAGGGAACTGGGAAAGGAAATGCCATGGAATTTTCTACCATTTTCAATTTGGTCTTTTTTTCTTAATTGGATTGTTTACCAGAGTTCCTATAAGATTATTTTAGCCAATTTTTTCTTTTTGACAACTCCATGGAGGTAAAAAGGATTTAAAACTTCTTAGTTTGCCATTTTGCTAAATTGTGTGGGTTTTTTTTTTTTTGAGTCCGAGTCTCACTCTGTCGCCCAGACTGGAGTGCAGTGGCCGCTCCCGGCCACCGCAGCCTCGCCTGCTGGGCTCCGGCGATCCTTCTGCCTCAGCTTTCCGAGTAGCCGGAATTACAGGCATGCGCTACCACGCCCGGCTGATATTTTGATTTATTGTAGAGATGAGGTCTCACTGCCCAGGCGGGTCTCGAACCCGCAGGCTCAGGCAATCCACTCACCTCAGCCTCCCAAAGGCGTGGGATTACAGGCTGAGCCACCGAGCCTGGCATAATTGTGTGGGTTTTTAATCCTGGCTCTATAACATATTCAGTCAACCTTTGTGAGCCTCATTTCTCTCATTTGAAAAGTGGGTATAACAATCTCTAACTGGCAGGTTCTTGTGAGTATCAGTGAGTCAATTCTATAAGGTATGCATTGCAGGGTTTGGCATATTGAAAGACCCCATAATGGTAAAAAGTACGTAAGATTTTATTATTACTATTAAAGTACAACTTCGGAGAAGGTAATACTTCGTGTTTCATCACTAACCCTATTATAGATTTTAGAGAATGACGAAAGAAGCCTTCTGCAGTCTGCTAATGCCGGGTTACATGTTGTCTTACAGAAAGAGCAGAAATCTTTATTGATCCTAAATTGATGGGTGTTTGGATAACTCTGAGGCAGAGAATAACTTTGTAATCTTATTGCTACTAAGAGATTATTCTAGGTTAGCACGTTGCCATGGCATGTGGACCTAAAATGTTGGCCCCCATCTGTCTGGTGGAAAACAACAATGAGCAGCTCTTGGTGAATCAGCAAGCTATAGAGATTCTTGATGAGATTGCTCAACCAGTGGTGGTGTTGTCCATTGTAGGACTATACCGTACGGGGAAATCCTACCTGATGAACCTTCTGGCAGGAAAGAACCATGGTGAGTGGTGTCTTGGGGCATGGGTCGATTGCTTGATTCCAGGTATATCTCAGCTTCTCAATTCTTTCTCCCAATCACATCAAGGGAGAACCCAACTCATCTCAATAAACCACCTTTCTCGTTTGAATTCTAACCACCAAATCACCTTCTTACTGTATCTGGTTTCATATTCTTTCCTTTATTCCCACTGAAGAAAATCTCTCCTACTTGTATCTAGAACCCTACCTTCTCTTGCATACTAAAGCCTATAGTTTGTCTCTTTCTTCTCACAAGATATTTTACTTTCTTTATATAGTATTTCCATTAACACATAAAATGTTTGAATATGTATCATATTAAAAATCCTTCTAGAATTTCACATCCCATCTGACATCCAACTCCTGTTTTATTTTTGTGTTTGTTTTCAACCTTTTTCAATCCAAAATATATTATCTCATTTTCCTTTTTTGACTTTTTCTTTCTCATGTCTCAGTCCACTGCTCTCTGACTTTGAACCCCTCTGAGCTTTCAAGACGTTCTTGTCATGGTTATCAGTGACCTCCATTGTGTCTGATTCATGGATTCCTTCTTGTCTCCATCTTGAGCCCTTGCTTGGCTTCACTCTCATATTTAATGTCCCTTGTTTTTTCAAATAGGTGACTCGCAAAGTAAGCCATTCTTGACGAAATAGAGAGAGCACTATCTTGTAGGCTAGTGGAGGAGTTACCATCCCAGAAGTCTGATCTTGTAGCCCAGGACTATAGTGATCTGCTGTCAGTGTGTGCATTGCTTCTTTTTCTTCCCTTGCAGGCTTCCCTCTGGGCTCCACGGTGCAGTCTCAAACCAAGGGCATCTGGATGTGGTGTGTGCCCCATCCCTCCAAGCCGAACCATACTCTGGTCCTTCTGGACACCGAGGGTCTGGGGGATGTAGAAAAGGTAAGGCAGAGAGTCTCAGACAGATTCTTATTTTGTATTTTCACCTTATCTTGTTCCCTTGTAAATTAACTACTGGGATCTCTTGTGAAGCCTGGTAATCCAACTATAATGAATGAGTCCAACATTGTTTAAATCTGATTTCTAGACAAGATCAGATATCATGATATATTAGGTAAAATATTCTCTTTTTCTTGGGACTGGGGTGAATAATTTGGTTCAATTTAATAAAAACTTACTGAGCATCTGAATTCAGGTCTCTGGATACTAGTGAATAGTCTTATGCATACTAGTGAGTAAAGTAAACCCCTTGCCCTCAAAGGGTCTTTAGTCCCATTGAGGAGATCACATATATGCATTGCTATTAATATAGTGTGACAGGGAAAGAAGCAGGTTATTGAGAGGTAGAAGTTGGGCTCCAGTGCAATCCCTGACCTCTGTCAATTTCATAGGAATCTCTGTGGCTGGGATGGCATTTTGGGGTTAATTTGTGCTAAGACAATAGTGCTAGGCTTTCATCCCTGATGCCGATTAGATACTGAAAATCTGCCCTGAAAGGCCTTTTCTTTAAGATGGCTGACACCTAAGGGCTGTCATTCATCAACACTCTCAGTAGTTGGGGGAATCAGTTATCCAATCCTGCAGAGTGATCCAGGGCTGGGCATGGTGGCTCACACCTGTAATCCCAGCACTTTGGGAGGCCAAGGCAGGAGAATAGTTTCAGCCCAGGAGTTTGAGACCAACCTAGGCAACATAGAAAAACCTCATCTCTACCAAAAAAAAAAAAAAAGTCAGAATTAGCCAGGCATGGTGCAGCATGCCTTTGTCCCAGCTTCTCGGGAGGATGAGATGGAAGGATCACTGGAGCCTGGGAGCTCAAGGCTGTTGGAGCCATGAACGTGCCACTACACTCCAGCATGAACAATAGAGTGAGACCCCAACTCAAAAATAATTACTTTTCTAAACCTAAAAGCAATGGGAAACATTGTGCAGTTACTCATAAATATTTGTTGAATTTAATTGGATGTGTTTAGAATCACTGGTTATCCCCCCTATGGTCTCTTTTATATAGCCCATGGCCAATAAATATGTGTAGAATAAAGAAGTACGAACACCCATCATCAATACACAATTAAGAATGAGTTGAAGAAATTGAAAATTCTGTGAAGATTGGAATTCTTTATATGTAAAGGCATTGTGAACATAAGAAATATTGTAATTGTCAAAGATATTATTTGCATTCTTATCCATCTTCTTTGTACAGTGAATGCATTAGTTGAAATTAAAAATAAAAGATTGGTAAGATAACTGTTTCAGTGAAATTCTAAAGAATACACTCCTAGGTCCTTTGCTCTAATGTGCTTTTTAGGGTGACCCTAAGAATGACTCGTGGATCTTCGCCCTGGCTGTGCTTCTTAGCAGCACCTTTGTCTACAACAGCATGGGCACCATCAACCACCAGGCCCTGGAGCAGCTGCAGTATCCTTCCAGCAACCAAATCACCAAGTTTCATGGAGTTTATAGAAATAGAGATAAAATCATTTCTTCCTTTGCTTTTATTTAGTTGCCTTTGGTGGAGCAGAGGAAACCCAGAGAGTGTTTATACTATTTCTATAAGAGAAATATGTGAATTGTGGGCAAGCAGTGCATTTTCCTTAGCCAAGCTGTAGCTATGTGACAGAACTCACAGAATTAATTAAGGCAAAGTCCTCCCCAAGATCTGAAGGACTAGAAGATTCTACAGAGTTTGTGAGTTTCTTTCCAGACTTTATCTGGACTGTTTGGGATTTCACCCTGGAGCTGAAGTTGAATGGTCGCCATATTACAGAAGATGAGTACTTGGAGAATGCTTTGAAGTTGATTCCAGGTATCAGAGCATGGCCTGCGTGATGGGTGACTCAGTCAGCGGTGGGGTCTGTTAAACACTGTGCATCACCTCTGGAGTTGCATTTGTATTTGAGACTAGATTGAGACCTGTAGAAATGAGGACTGGGGTGGGGGTGGGTTGAAAATCTCCAGGGACTGGAATTTAAGTTCATTTAAAAAGAGTAGAACCTAGTGTAGAATGTACTTAATCAAGACGAGTTTGTTCTTTGACCATTTGTCCTTTAGCATTCAGATTACAAAGGGTGCTAAAACTTTCTAAAGACCAGATCCTTGAGATCCTTCTTGTGCCTTCTGTATTTCTTGTTTAGTCAAACAATTGAGCAGATAACTGTTTGACAAGAAATTACAATAAAATGCCTATTTAACAAAAAATATATATCACACAGTTAGATCTTATTTTTCTCATGGAAGGATGTAACTTTTCAATACTTATATAGTTATATCATCTACAAAAATGATTTTATGTTCTAAATAAATCTGAAGAAGTATAAGTCTACACAACTTATTCCTTTTCAAAATTTCTGATCATTACCAGAACACTTATTTTTCTTTCTGTGTTATAGCTTTCTCATACTTCCAACATATTTATTCATGCTATAACTACAAAATAGTAGTAATAATTATTTTTTGAGTTGGAGTCTCACTCTATTGCCCATGCTGGAGTGCAGTGGCACACTCATGGCCACCGCAGTCTCTACGTGCTGGGCTCAGGTGATCCTTCCACCTCAACCTTCCAAGTAGTTAGACCCACAGGCATGTATCACCACGCCCAACTAATTTTTTGATTTATTGTAGAGACAAGGTCCAGCCATGTTGCTTAGGCTGGTCTCAAACACCTGAGCTCCGACAATCCTCTCACCTCCACCTCTTAAAGTGCTGGGATTACAGGCTTGAGCCACTGCAACTGGCTAAAATAAAATAATTATTTTAATGAGTTACCTTACATGGGTGTGTATTTGACAAGCTCTTATAAGAAATATCAATTCTGATATACTCATTTTTGTTTTTATTTTTTCTGTTCATGCTCTTTCAAAATATTTATTGAAAAACTGGAGTGCAGAAGAACAACACCGTCAAATCAAATATAATCCTTTAACTCAAAGAATTTACAGAGTAGTGATGAGTATCTTAAAATTATATTTTCATTTCATTTAATCTTCGGAGGTTTTTAAGTCTTCAGATACTACAAACAATATGTTGAAAGTTTAAAGAGTAGCCCAAACTATACAAATTCTTTTTAGCATCAATATGGTTTTTTTCTTTTTCTTTTTTTTGAGTTGGAGTCTCACTCAGTTGTCCAGACTGGAGTGCAGTGGCCGCTCCTGGCCACCGCAGCCTCAACTTGCTGGGCTCTGGTGATCCTGCCGCCTCAGCCTTCCAAGTAGCTGGAACTACAGGCGCGCGCTACCACGCCTGTCTATTTTTTAATTTATTGTAGAAATGAGGTCTTGCCAAGTTGCCCAGGCGGGTCTCGAACCCGCAGACTCAGGCAATCCACTCACCTTGGCCTCCCAAAACACGAGATTACAGGCTGAGCCACCGTGCCCGGCTGGTTTTTCTTATATAATCATGGTGTCTTTCTTAGTGTTCTGAGTATTGCTATTTCTAATATTGTTCTCTTATCTCTTATTTGTGGCTCTTCTTTGGTTCCCACTGCTCAATTTCTTTTTTTTTCTATTAATTTTTTTATTTTAAAGATGTGGGGTACAATTCAGGGTTAGGTATACAAATGTTCATTATGCAGGTACCCTTGTGAATGAGGTGTGCCCCCTCTTCCCCAAGCAGATTGCCAATTCTGCTTCTCTGCCCCCCTTCTGGCAGTTTCCCACTACTGTCCATCATTCTCTTATAGTATTATGATAATTGTGCAAGGTCCACTTATGAGTGAGAACATGTGATACTCAGTTCTTTGTTTCTGTGAAAAATCACTCAGTATTATAGACTCTAAGTCCATCCAGGTTGCTGTGAAGTTCACGATTTTGTTCTTCTTTGTGGCTGTATAATATTCCATTGTGTATATGTACCACATTTTTTGTATCTAGTCCTCTTCTGATGGGCAGCACGGTTGGTTTCATGTTCTTGCTACTATGAACAATGCTGCAGTAAACACACTTGTGCAGGTATCTTTTTTTAGGTTGATTTGAGTTCTGGGTATATTCCTGGTAGGAGGATTCCACTGCTCAATTTCTACATGAAATCAAGTGGACTAGACATTTACATTTGACAGCTCATTCACCCAGCCCATTCATTCAGTGAACATCTAATAAACAATTACTCTATTCAGGTCTATGGATACCAGCCATAGGTTTTGTCAGATGTCTTCCAAAATTTCTTGCCAGAGTTTTATCATTGGTGCAAGTTTGATGTGGAAAAAAGTATTGAATATTTACGTTAAAGGAATTCTATAAGCATAGAAGACTGCAAAAATAAAACAAACCTTGTCAAAAATATTCTTTAGCTCCCTTATCCCAAGACTGTTTTCACTGTACTCTCTGCTTTTTCTTGTCCCTCAGGCAACAATCCCAGAGTACAAATATCCAATCTACCCAGGGAGTGCATCAGGCATTTCTTTCCAAAACGAAAGTGCTTTGTCTTTGACCGACCAACACATGACAAATACCTCTTAGCCAATATTGAGAAGGTATCAGAAAACCAACTGGATCCTAAATTCAAGGAACAAACAAACATTTTCTGTTCTTTTATTTTCACCCATGCAAGAACCAAGACCCTCAGAGGGGGAATCACTGTCACTGGAAATCGTGAGTCTCTTTTTCACATTTCTGTGGGGCCTAATGTATTTTGAATATATTGTGTAATGGGTTTCTCAGCACTCTTGTTCGAATCTATGGAGAACTATATATATAGATATTTAGACTTCATATAAATGTGTATATTTTATAATTGTCTCACTTTTGGGGTATACACATTCCTCTTCAGAATTGCAAACTTTGTTATTGATATCTGTAGCTTCCACATATCTGAAAAAAATCTTCCATTAATAATAAAATCATTAACTGTGTGTAAAAACAGATATATATTATTTTCTGAGGAGAAGTGCTTTATGTTCAATATTCTTTGCAAGAAGACTACAAAAAATATTTTGGAAGTTTAAAGAAGTCTATAAATAAATATTATCCCATAAATCCCTTGGTAGATTCAGAATTAGGAATATGTATATCCAATTTTCCCTGCCTCATCATTCTACCTGTGTAATCTATTTTCCTTTTAATTTTTTAAATGAGAAATGATGTATTCCATACCCTCTTAGTATGTTTGATGAAAGTAGATATTTAAATTTTTTTAGCACTGTGGCTTGAAGAAACAAAAAAATGGAGAGTCAATATCATTAAGAAAATGACAGTAATGATAGTAGAAAGAAGGTGTGTGTGTGTGTGTGTGTGTGTGTTTGCATGTGTGTGATTTTAGGAATATGGCTCAGAGTCTTAGACCCCATTGAGTTATAATTTTATAATTATACCCCAAATTTCCTGGTTTATTCAGGTTTAGGGACCCTGGTGGTGACTTACGTGGATGCCATCAACAGTGGAACTGTACCTTGTCTGGAGAATGCAGTGACAACTCTGGCTCAGCTGGAGAACTCAGCGGCTGTGCAGAAGGCAGCCGACCACTACAGCCAGCAGATGGCCGAGCAAGTGGAGCTCCCTACAGACACTCTCCAGGAGCTGCTGGACGTGCATGGAGCATGTGAGAGGGAAGCCATTGCAATCTTCATGGAGCGCTCCTTCAGGGATGAAAATCAGGAATTCCAGAAGCAGCTTGTGGTAATTTGTCTTAGTCATGACTCTTTATGACCTTTCCTCTTGACGAACAAAGCCTAGAGGTAACTTTATAGACCGCAAGCCTCATCTCTTACTCAAGAAGAAGTATTTTAGATTCTCATGGGGAATACAGCTTCAAAAGACATGCCTGCCTATTTTTTTTTTTTGCCAAATCTTAGCACTTTATCCAGAAATCTTTCTGATCACTAAGGGAAAATTAGTATGGATATCCCTTAAGTGAATACGTGTATGATTTCAAGCCTGCTCAGGACACTTGCAAATCATCACTGAACAGTTCACGTGCTCTGTGTGCATGCTTCCTTTCCTAGGAACCAAAGTTTATTCTTACCAGCACCTTATTCTGGCCATTGTTCAGCTTACGTTGCTCAATGTTGTTTGTTTGTGTTATCGAAAATAGAATCACAGGATGCTACAGCTGCAAGAAACCATAGACATTATGGAATGCAAGCAAATCATTTCACAGATGAGAAATCTGAGACCCACAATGGTTAAGAATCTTTCTTCAGTCTTGCAGAGAGTTTTCAGGGTTTTGAATACATGAAGTTTTATCATTTCTGGTTCATTCTGCTTCCTACTTCATAAGAATGCTTTGCTCTACTTCATAAGAATGCTTTGCTCATGAGGACTACAGTGAGATCGGCCTTTCTATCAGATTCTTTGGAATTTTATTTTCTCTGCTCCTTTCTTCTGGTAACATTGCTGTGCATTCCCTTTGCAGGAAATCATAATGAGTAAGAAGGAACATTTCTTGCTACAGAATGAGGAGTCATCTGTTAAATATTGCCAGGCTCAACTCAATCAGCTCTCAGAGGACCTAACGCAAAATATTTTAGCAGGAACTTTCTCTGTTCCTGGAGGGAACAAGCTCTACATGGAAGCAAGGAAAAATATTGAACGGGAGTATTTGGAAGTGCCCAGGAAAGGAGTAAAGGTGAGAAATAAGGGACGCATGGGAAAGCTTATAGAATAGAGTGAATGGAGTCTTCTGCACCAGTCGTGGGTAATAGGAGAGCCGAGGGATAGCATGACACCTTAGTCTTTAATGTCCACTATTTACCATTTATTCTTGGGAATAGAAATGTCCATTCCCAAAGAAAGAGCATAGTGTTTAAACATTTAAGAGAGACAGAGCAAAAATTATTCATCTGCCAAGTTCAGAAGATTTACACGTGTTAAGTCAGAGTCTTTGGACTCAAAGCTGATCAAAATGAAAGAAAATAGGATAAATAGATAATTACACACAGAGTAATAACACTTACAAGCCTGTGAAAATGAGCTACATTAAGTGGTGGCAATAAACATAAAAATATTAATAATGCAACTAACATATCAAACTGTTGTTGAATGTAGACATACTGTTAAGCTCTTTCCCCAGAACTTTTCCTTTAATTTTCCAAATGACTTTAAGAATCATCTACCCTACTTTTGAAAATTTTCAGATCTGAATTGAGTGGCTTAGGAAGATCAAATAATCTACTTAAAACTCCAGCCAGCAAGTGGCAGGAGAGGGCAGTAGTACAAATAAAAGACAGACTTTCACGCTGAAATTGCAAATGTATGAACGCATCAGAGATTGTGTGTTTGTACAACTGCACATGACTCTGACTAGCTGGAGCCCAGAATAAGCGGAAAGAAGCACTGGGAGAGGAACTGGAGGGAGACAGGAAGTAGAAGATGAAGAGGACCTCTGGTCCCATTAAGGAGCTTGCACATTTGTAGGGAGTCACTGTAGAATTTTAAGCATAAAGCAAAAATGGCATGGACAAATAAATCTATGTTTCTTGTTTCTACTTGGTTCGACAGGCAAAAGAGGTGTTCCAGAGTTTCCTACAGTCACAACTGGCAATAGAGAAAACCATCTTGCAGGCAGATAAAGCCCTCACTGATGGGGAGAAGGTCATAGCAGGTATGGAGTAGGGCTCTGCATACAGCAGGTTGGGAAGGGTCCTGCAATGCCCTTGACAGATCCAACAGGAAGACCTTTTCCAAACACTGAACTTCCTCTCCTTATGAGCAACACACACACTCTGTTAAGTGTGAAAGTGACAGGTAGAGCTGTGATTTTTTTCCATCAGTCAGACAGGCAGGGCCTTTTCATTACGTTCTGAAATGTGTTCTTTATGATGTGGACCCAGGTGAATTCTACAATTTCTCACCCACCCTCCCAGATTGGATTTAGTCTCTGAGCTCATAAGAGTAGAGATTTATCTTCATCTCTTATTTTATCTCTTTCTAAAACCTTCATGGGGCAGAGGAGCGGGCCAAGAAGGAGGTGGCTGAGCAGGAACAGGAAATTTTAAGACAGAAATTCCAGGAGCAGCAGCAAGAGATGAAGGCTCAGGAAAGGAGCTTAAGGGAGAACATAGTCCAACTGAAAGAGAAGATGGAGATGGAACGAGAACAACTACTGAATGAGCAGAATAAGGTTTTGGAGCATAAGCTGCAGGTAAGTCTGCTGATGGCTCTGTAAGCCTGATGGTCCTTGCCCTGGTACCTCAGGAAGGGTTGGTGAAGATAATAGCAAGACAGGGAAAGAAGCACCATCACTGTTTACTGATTTCAACTCATTGAAATGCCTGAATCCTTTCTAAAATTTTTTTCAAGAAGTCTTTGAATTCTGTTTCTTACTTAGACTCTAGAGAGTTTGGATTGACTGTGGTCCCTATAAGTCCTTAGAAAATATAAATAGGGTTAGAGTTGCTATTTTGGGATATATTAGAATGATGTCACCAGGGCTTGATAAACAAATATTCCCACCAGGTGTATTCAACATAAGCAGCAACAGATTTACCTTACCAAGACCAAGACCACATATTATCAGGCACTCTACTACCACCCAAAGACCCTGAAGTAGGCCCATGCTGACATAAAACTATCAGAAACTTGCAGACTTCAAAGGGACACCTTCTAAACTTGCTGCATTTTCTCCATATGTGGATGAACTGTCCATAGTTGCTTGTGTTATAAGAGGAATTTTCACATTGTCCATTTATTATAAGAGATTTCCGGTCCAGCATGCAAGTTTCCATTGTTTCTATGATACAAGTAACCATGCCACCCAAGTGGAACTGAGAATTTTTGCAATTAGACAAGTGGCTTTCTTCCAGCTGGCATTTTTTGGGCAGAAACATGTAGCATTTGTCCTCATTCCTAGGTTAGCATCCTAGAAAAATTGTAATGATGGGTGAATATTAGCAAAATTATAAACTATGCTTCCACACAATGTCTAGGTCCAATTCAGATGATAGTCATTGTTGCCGAATTCTCCTCTGATAATTGAGAAAGTACTTTTAAATAAAATAAGGACAGTTTGACAAAATTCTTAAAATATAACTTTTGAAAGAATGAGGAGTTAAAAAAATTATTTCCTTTTCCAATTTTTCTTTTAGGTCCAAAAAGATTTTCTTGAGGAAGGATTTAGGAAGAAATCCGAGGGGATGAATGCAGAAATAACTTATTTGAAAAATGCAATTGAAGCTACAAAAGATGGTAATGGTAATCAGATTGCACAAATCTTAAACAGACTTGGCAAGGAAATAAATTCAATAACTACTCATCCTAAAAAATTAGTTCGTCATATTGCCAAAGGTGTACGCTCACTGTTTAAAAAGCATTAACTCTTCTTTTAAGGAAATTATAGAATGTGGGTGTATGCTCACTGTTTAAAAAGCATTAACTCTTCTTTTAAGGAAATTATAGAATGTGAATATATGCTTTGCCCTCTTTTTTTGTTTTCACTTTTCCTTTTAATTTAGCAAAGTTTATTTTATTTTAGAATTGTGGCAGACAAGTGAGGACTTATTGCATAAGTAAGTTGCATGCAGGTGAAGTCTGAGCTTCTAGAAGCATTCCCTTTTCTCCACAACCATGCCAACGCTTGTTTTTTTTTACTTTTTTGTTTTTTACTGGTGTGAGGTTGTATCTCATTGTAGTTTTGATTTGCATTTCTCTGTTTACAAGTGAAGCTGAGCATTTTTTCTTGTTTGTTGACTGCTTGGGTGACTTTCTTTGAGAAGTATCTGTTCACATACTTTCCTCACAATGAAACAAATGTGTACACACTCTGAAAAACCATGAGCACTTTTAAGAAATATAAATTTGCAAAATCTTTTATAAATAAGAAGTCAACTTAAGCATTGCGCTTAATGGCAAAGTACTTGAGTATCCTCCACATAAGATTGGTAACACACATTTTAATATGTGCATGTACTGGAATATGATGTTACCAGTAGGAAAATTGACCTATCCTGATACTAGTATAGAATGATCTTGAATATATGTTATAAAGTGAAAAAAGAGGACAAAGCAAAAGTCTCCAAGCAAAAATACAATTTCTATATGGAAGCATGCATGCACACACATCAAATATCTCTGGAAAGATTAATGAAAATCTACTTCTTTTGGAAATAACCAGGTAGAATCAGGTATTGAAGGGATACATACTTTTCATTATATACTCTATCTTTTGAATTTTATAAAAAAGTTTATTTTGCTAGTTTTTCCTATTCAAAAATATGTAAGAACATGTAAGTTATAGTACTAAGCATGACAATAATAAATGGAATGTGAAATTGGCTATTTGATGATGAAATTGCTTATTGCTTTTAGGAATGACATCAGCTCAATAAGGGATCTAAGACTAAAAGCTGATTATCAGAATGTATAAAATTTGTGTCTTATTCTTGCTCTTATTTGGCCTTATTTTTTATGCTCTTATATTTGTTTCAAAATAAAAGTGTGAACTTTTCTGTGATCTTAGAGATCCCAGCTAGAGGAGTCTCTACTTCCTATCTCTGAATTATAGTTTTAAGGTGATAAAAGTGCAAATTAACAAACATTAAGATTCAGTACTGGTGAGAGGATGCTACCATTCTTGTAAATTCAGTGGTAGTCTCTCTGTTGTAGCCCCAGACAGAGAGGACAATGTGCTTTTCCAGAACTAAACTCCCTGGTGGAAGATGACAGACGCTGACATATGGAAGTCTGGTGTTGGGTTTTAATCATTAGAACCTTAGTAGATTCAGTTATAGGAAAACTGGCAGAAACTAGGCCTGACCAGAAAGAAGTCTGAAGATGGTTAATAGAATGTGTAATCCATAGGATCAAATGGGATGGGAAGAAAACAATAAAATTAAATCAAGGGTGTTTACCAGGAAGTTGAGAGGTAGCCCAAGTGAAATGTCATACCAAAAGCCTTGAGCTGATTTCAGATCTTGCACTTATCAGCTGGAAGGGAGGCCAGGACCCTAGAAAAAGGCCATTGTAACCTCAAGAAATGAATAAATAATATTGTTTTCTCTAGTTCTTCTTTGAAGGAAACTCTGGCCATTTACTAGGTACCTGTGTACTGGGGAAATAGAAATGCCCAAACATTTCAAGGACTCTTGGAATCAGGATCTAAATTGCCAGTGGTACCCAAGGAGACAGAGCATCCAGGAAATAAATAGAATCTTGTCCCAGGTGCAACTTATTGGAGTATAATATTTGCTTTGAATTGAAGGGTAAGGATCATTTGTGGACAGATGCTTTTACTTATTTTTCTATACATCCCCTCAGAGTATGTTAAGACATAACAATAGGATGATGTATGTATGATTGTTTTCAATTGCTGCAATTCCCTGAACTCTCTAAGGTCAGTGGTAATAGGTAACTGGGATTTTAGACAGAAGGCTAAAGTCTCTAAGGTGATTTAAAGTCTAGCAAAAAGAAAAGGAACGTTCCTAGTGCAGTATCCTTCTCTAAGACCTCACATCTCACAGTCCCTGTGAAAGTGAGCCAAATACTGATTTTTTCCCACTGTGGCTTATAGGGTAACTCATGCACACCTGTAATCTTATGCAGATCTATAACTTCATGTGTCACAGTTTCTGCTAAACTGTATCAAAGGAATAAAGAAATAATTTTTCTTGCTTCATAGGGTGACTCACACAGATTTGTAAAGAAATGCAACAGATTTTAGAGCTTTCATCATCCTGTAATTTATTTCAGGTTATATCTAATACTTTCAAGAGTGGCTAATATACTTGAGCTCTCTTTGATGGGCAACACAAGAAACATGTTTGACATTATCTAAGGACTCTCAGTCAAGAAGATGAAGACCCCACCCATTTGGGGCGCAATGAAACTATCTTATAATCATTACTCATTCTTTCTTTCCTAAACCATACTTTTGCCATGCGTCTATAAGTCCGATTCATTCTAGTGAATCCTTTTTTGAGGGCTAACTGGGATCAAAAGTCCCCAAGACTACCTCAGATTAAATGATTCACTAGTAAGACACAGAACTCAGGAACGTTTCCTGCTTATGGTTACTATTTATGACAGTGTACAGCTACAATTAAAACCAGCAAAAGGTACATGGGTCAGGTCCAAGAGATATGAGGCACGGTCTTGCAACTGTCTTCTCCCAGGAGAGTTGCACAGACAACATCTAATTCTCTTACAAACAATGTGTGTCATGCATGAAATATTGTCAACCAGGGAAGGTCACACAAGCCTTCATGTTTAGTGTTTTTATTTGAGTGTACTCACGTAGGAATAGAGTGCTCACGTGGCTGATCTTATTGACTTAGAATCCAGCCACTCCAGAAGTCAAACTATTATGGTGTACCCAAAGATTGTAAGAGGTGATGAATTGTATGGAATCTGTGTGAAGCCTTATAATATTAAGTGTGATGAATTATGTGAAATGTAATGAAACTACAGCCTCATATATCAAGTATGCTGAAACTGTGCTGTGATCTCTCCCCTAAAACTTAGTAATTCTTGGAAACCCTGGAAAGAACGCCAACATGGAAACTCCAAGTGGCTATGTTAGATAAGCTAACCAGCTTTTTTCTTGCTTCTGTAACCCCCGCTGGCAGTGTGTGAGTGTTGTGTGATAAGCCCCTTTCAAATTCTGGCAGGCTTTTCTCTGTTTTAATTGTGGCAAGCAAGCCCCTCTTCTGGCGGGCTTTGTGTTGTTTAAATTTGAATTATAACGGCCTTGTGGATTAGGCAGACTTTTGATTATTTAAGAAAGGCCCCAGCCACAGTATGGGGCCCTCACCTAGAGACTTGTAAGTCTTGTGAGTGGCCCTGGCCAGTCGAACCTGGTTAATAAACCTCTCTCTTGGTAAATTGTGTGTCGGCGCCGTGAATCAAACGCTCAGACTCCACATCAAGATCTCCCTCATAAATCACATTTTTTACATAAAGTAGCTGGTGTGGCTTGGGGCCTCCACATATACAAAACATTCTTATCAGGCAAGTCATTCAAAGGACTTAGTGGTTATATTCCAGAAGCCAGTCAAGGGTCAGACATTTCTTTGCAATGTGAAGGAAACCCAGACTTGCTGAGTTAACCTTTTATTATGAAGTCCTAAAGAATAAGAAAGTTAACACCATGAGAAAGGTAAAATGAAGATATTTATTGTCTTACTGGAAGGACGTGTCAATGTTTTATTCTTGACGTTTTAAAATATAAATATTTGGGGAATAAGGGAAGTTGATCAACATGAGGAAGTTAGGGTATGTTTCTCCTATGAAGTAAAACAAGAGAATTTTCTCAGCATCCAGAGAGGAACTGGGCCAACAGCACACTGCATGGCTTATCAAAAATAGTGACAACAAACACATAGTACAAAGGAGAGAAAAATCCATTGACCTGTGCTGAAATTAGATAGATGATCACCTGAACCACTGCAGGCTGCCTCCAGCCTCCAGACCCAATGTGGGAGGTGAGTGAGAGGAATCCAGATCTGTGCTCCTGCTGTGGACTTGGTGGGACCTTTGAGCCTGTGGGACTCCAGTCCCCATGGGAAACTGCCTTACCCCTAGCTACTACAAAACCCATGTGGAGTGGTGCAGTGGTAGCCACCATAATGCAGAAACTCTTTCCTTGCATGGCTGCTTTCCTGGGAGAAGATGGGTCCCAAGGGCTAACTCTGTAGGAGTTTTTTTTTTTTTTTTTTTGAGTTGGAGTCTTACTCTGTCACCCAGACTGGAGTGTAGTGGCCACTCCCTGCCACCGCAGCCTCGACCTGCTGGGCTCTGGCGATCCTTCCGCCTCGGCCTTCCAAGTAACTGGAACTACAGGTGTGCGCTACCACACCCGGCTAATTTTTTTGATTTATTGTAGAGATGAGGTCTTGCCAAGTTGCCCAGGTGGGTCTCAAACCCGTGGGTTTAGGCAATCCACTCATCTCAGCCTCCCAAAGCACGGGATTACAGGCTGAGCCACCAAGCCTGGCTTGTAGGAGTTCTTTACTCCAGTTAGGCTTGAATGACCAGTGAGCCTTGAGACACTTCAGCCCTCTACAGGAAGCTGCCTTCACCACAGCAGTGCCCTACCAAAACTCATGTGGAGTGGGCAGCTGCAGCCGCCATAGCCCAGGAACTCAGTGCTTGGGTCTGCTTCCTAGCTGACTTGGAAGGGGCTGGGCCCCACGGGCAACCTCCAAACAGTAGTCAGTTCCCGACTGGGGTGGGCTAAGTGAGTACACTTGATCCTCTGAAGCCAGATTGTAAACAGCCCGAGGCCAGGGCAGGAGCTGGGTGGGATACGTTGCCATAGCAATCAATTCCCAAGTAAACTCTTCTGTGCCTGCCCAGAATAGTAGCATGGCTCCAGTGGTCT